TCCAGACATGGCCTCCAGCTGTGGCCCTGACCCAGGTGTCACCATGGCATCGGATAGCAGTATGTGCCATTATGTGACCCCAAATGCAGCATGATCCCTGGTCACTAACATGGTCCCAGATAGCAAATTAGACTGTGGGCAACCACACAGAAGTCAAATTTTTTGTTTTGTTTCGGTTTTTTTTTTTTTTGAGACAGGGTTTCTCTGTAGCTTTGGAGCCTGTCCTAGAACTTGCTCTGTAGACCAGCCTGGCCTCGAATTGCCTGCCTCTGCCTCCCGAGTGCTGGGATTAATGGTGTGCCCCCTGGGCTGGAGAGATGGCTCAGTTGTTAAAGGCTAGACTCACCCCCCAAAATATAAGAGGCCAATTGCGGCAAGCTCCTGAGCATCCTCTTCTGTGCAGCTCAGGTGGCTGCAGGGGAAAAGCAATAGCTAATTGCTGAATGAACAAATAAACCTATTCAATAGACAGCCACCAGGTGCTATGGGAAACACAGAGCTGGGTCCCTTGATATCCCAGCAATGAGTGTGCCGGGGCGTTCAGAGATAGCAGAAGGAGTAGTGACGGAGGCCCAGAGAAGACCCACTGGGTAAGGTGGCATTAGAGTGAGCCTTGGAGTGAGGGACCCACGGGCGTGGGAGGTGGGGATGGGTGGACTGGGCGGGTTCCAAGTGACCGGCCAACAAGAGCATCTGGAGAAGTGTGAAAAGAGGCATCAGGAGCTGGAGCTGGCAGCTCTCGGCCCTGCTCTCGCCCACACGACGGCCTTGCTTTGTGGCTCACTAAATTGACAAGAGAGATTTCTATCCAAGGATATGCATCAAAATACTATTTCTCTAAAGGCATTCGAGATAGACACCCCCCGTGCGTGTGCATGCGTGTGTGTGTGTGTGTGTGTGTGTGTGTGTGTGTGTACACAAGTGTGTCTGCACCATGACATGTGTGTAGAGATCAGAAGACAACACTAGGGAGTCTGCTCCCTCCAGCCATGTTTTTTGTTTTTTGGTTTGGTTTGGTTTGCTTTTGGTTTTTCAAGACAGGGTTTCTCTGTGGCTTTGGAGGCTGTCCTGGAACTAGCTCTTGTAGTCCAGGCTGGTCTCGAACTCACAAAGATCCGCCTGCCTCTGCCTCCCGAGTGCTGGGACTAAAGGCGTGCGCCACCAACGCTCGGCTTCCTTGGTGTTTTTAAAAGCAAGACCATGAATGTTTCACAGTTCCAGAGTTCTTCAATCCCTGCCTTTTTTGTGCTGGACCTGTGCCTGCCTCTCTAGAGGTATATGTGAAAAAGGCCCAGCCAAGACAGCCCACACAGCTTCCCCTGCCCTCCTGGAATACTTGCTTCTGAAGCTCTGAAGGAACATGGGAGAAGCCAGACTCCCTTGAGATGGCCGTGATGTAAGTAAGCAGTCAGGCTTGGTAACTTGCCAACTACTGTCGGGAACTTTCTCGCCCCATGCACAGACTCGTGTCCCAGCAGACCAGTTCCGAGGCATACTCAGGGACTCCACCCCTCTAGTTCAGGAGATTGGAGCGTAAAGTCTAGGAAAGAGTTTAAGGGACAGTAGGTTATGCTTTCTGGAGACTGCGCTGGTGTGGCATTAGTGGTGGTGGCAAAAGCTACAACCCCACTCACTCACCGAAGACATCCTTGTATCTACTGAGCACCTTCTGTATGCCAGGCACACATGTACTGTATTTGTTTATAACTGTTACCCAGCAACCCCCAGTTCCATGTGAGGAGCCTGAGGCACAGAGTTGTTCGTTCATTGCCTCAAATCACACAGCTAATATATGGCTGAGTAGGGTTTCAAACTCAGACCATTGCCCTCTGTCCAGAATCCTCTGCTACTGGGGTTTCTGAGCAAGAGAAAATAGAATACATGTCAGCCTTGGAGTGATTAAAACTATTTGGGATGTGTGGTGCCTCAAGTTTGGTCCCTATTGCTATGAAAATGAAAAGAAGAAATCTAACACCAAAGCTTGGTTCCTTCAGAGAGAACTTGCTGTGCTCTCTGTGGCACGGGACAGTCATCACAGCTGAGGCAGCCTGGGCTATATAATGAGTTGAAGACCAGCTTGAACTGTAGAGAAGAGCCTGTCTCAAAAACAGAAATAAGAAAAAAGTAATAAGAAGCATCCTGGAAGCAGAGTGTGGGTGTGGTGGGTGAATGAGAATGTTCCTCCTGTAAGCTCACGTATTCAAACTTAGTCCCCACTTGATGAACTGTTCAGGAAGGCTTAGGAGGTGTGGCCTTATTGGAAGAGGCATGGTCACTGGGAGTGAGCTTTGAGGTTTTAAAACCCCATACAAGGCCCAGTGTCTCTCTCTGCCTGCCGCCTGGATCAGGATGTAAACCTCACAGGTACTGCTGCAGTGCCATGCCTGCGTGCTTCCTGCCGTGATGACCATGGACTAACCTCAACAAGCCCCTGATTACATTTTTTCTTTTAGCCAGGCATGGTGGTGACACACACCTTTAATCCCTGCACTTGGGAGACAGAGGCAGGTGGATCTCTGTGAGTTCAAGGCCAGTCTGGTCTAGACAGAGAGTTCCAGGACAGCCAGGGATACATAGAGAAACCTGATGGGGGATGTCCTTCTGTATATATGTCTCTCTTATTGGTTGATGAATAAAACACTGATTGTCCAGTAGCCAGGCAGGCAGGAAGGATAGGCGGGGCTACGAGAGGAAGAAGTGAGGAGAGGGAGGGAAGCTGAGGGAGACGCCATGTAGAGACTGGGAAGATAAGATACATCAGGCGTTCTCTGGTAAGATCAGGCCATGTAGAAATACATAGATTAGTAGTTATGGGATAATAATTAAGGGAGAGCTAGTCAGTAAGCAGCCCTATCCATCGGCTAACAGTTTTAAATAAATGTAAGTCTTTGTGTATTTATTTGGGGCTCATCGGCTGCGGGACTGGACTGGAAAGGAACTCCAGCTACAAAAACCCTGTCTCAAAAAACCAAAATAAAGAAATGAAGTAATAATAATAAATTAATAAATAAACAAAACCAACTATAAGGGAAAAATGAAAAATATTTTCATCCGCAGACAACACTATTTTACCCAGAAATTATGCTAAGAAATACACAAGGCACTAGAATGATTATGTGGGTTTTGCTAGGTTTTAAGACACATAGTAGCGGGGCTGGAGAGATTCATTGGTTAAGAGCACTACCCACTCTTCCAGAGGCCCTGACTTCAATTCCTAGCAACCACATGGTGGCTCACAACCACCAATAATGAGACCTGGTGCCCTCTTCTGACCTGAAGACATACACGCAGGTAGAACACTGTAGACATAATAAATAAATAAAATCTTTTAAAAAGATACTAGTGAAGATCCGTGGTAGGGCTGGGTGTCATTTAGTGATTGAGTGTTTGGTCTGTCGTATGCAGGTCCTGGACTCCAATGATGTCAGCTATGTCTGCAACCTTCTCTGCCCTCCAACGGATGTACCCCAGTAGGCCAGTTGCAAGGAAGACCCCAGGTTCTTGCTCCCCATTTAGGAGATCTGAAGTTAGGGAGTACAGGAAGGGTTTGGGGGGGGAAAGGGTCAGTGATGCTCTCTGGAGCATGGAGGGAGATGGGGAGATCACGGGAGGGACAGGACTGTACCACAAAAACAAGAGATCAAAATCAATACAGAGCCAAGTACATTGTGTCCTTGTGGGATGTGAACAAAGCCCTTTGGACTGAACCCACAAGTTGACCAGGATTCTGCAGCCTGACCATCAGGATTTTGACCCTTGAGGTCAGACACCCGAGCTGAAATCCTGCTTTGCTGCTACATGCCTGAATGACACAGGCACATGTTCCCTATGTCCATATTTCACAAGCACATCAAATAAGAGGGCACTCGGAAGAGGGGGAGGGAACTCAGCTCATCAGTGTGTGAGGAACAGTCTCAGAATGCACATGTTCCAGTGCCTAACCATGGAACTAGTTCACAGAAATTGTCTCAAAATTTGCACGTCGTGCGTGGGGGGGGCGCTATGCTCCTGGGGAAAGGGACTAGAGGTTTCTGACGCAGGTGTAAGGAGTAAAGCATTTCTGTGCAGGCCTCCTCCTGGCGTGCAAACTCCTCGGGAGCACAGTCCACATCTGTTTATCTTTACACCCCAGTGGTATAGGCAGTTTTGACACTTCTGCAAAAATAGCCTAGCCTGTGCACACACCTGAGGCACCTGTGACTGCAATAGCAGGACACTGCCACCAGGTGGGTTCTGGGGTCCAACAGAATTACCTACAGGGAACAAAATAGCTCTGTTGAAAGACCCTACTGGTTTCTTGGAAGTTTGGCTTTAGCATCTTCCTGCTCCTTGGCCTTCATTTAGGTTTTGTTAGAGCTGTCAACTTGACATGATCCAGAGTCACCTGGGAGAAAGACATCTGAGCATGCCTGTGGGGAAGGACCACACCTACTGTGGGTGACCTGACGGATAAGGGACCAAGCAGCATGCCTTCATACACTGCCATCTTCTGACCATGCATGTGATGTGACCAATTGCTTGAGGCTCCTGCTGCTTTAACTTCCTGTCTTTATGTTCTATACCATCGACCATGAGCCAAACTAAACTTTCTTCCTTAAGTTGTTTTTGCTAAAGCTGTCATAACACAGGAAAAGAATCTAAGCCATCGAGTCTGAAAATGGGTGTGGCAAATGTTTTGGTGGTCCTCGTGGCCCACCCTCACTACCTCCTTAAACCCCTCCAAGTTGGTCATGAGAACAAAAACTTCTAAGTATAGGTGGGTAAATTATACCTCAGGGAACCTGTGCTGCTGAGAATTCTGTCCTGCTCCTTCAGGATTCCACCCGCTCTGCACTGTGGCTTCTCTTAGGGTCCAGGACTTTTCGTTACAGAGGGTACAGCCGTGACTTTCAGCAGCAGTCCGTGGAACAGCCCCTCCAGCCTTTTCCATTCCCTTCCCACTTTCTGTGTTTCCAAATGTCTCAGACAGAGGGGTGGACCCGTCCAGGGGCCAAACGATACATGTTCCAAGTAATTTTTATTTTAGAATACAAGAGAAGTACAAATGTATTTACAGTTGTACATATACAATCAAATAATATATATCACAGTTTCGTAAATATCATCTTAGATAAACATTTACAAAGTTAAAGTGACCGTTTTCTGGGAGTAGAACACACTTTCTTGAAAACTCTATACATTTTATCCTTTTGTTAATATTATTATAGTTTTGTGTTTTAATTTTACAAACGTCCACGTGTTTGGAGGGAGTGTTGAGTGTTGTGGGGATTCTGGTAAATGACAAGATTTGAGATGACACCAGAGGGCGCCCATGGTCGGAGCAGGGGAAGGCGTGGACAGGGCCTCCGCGGCGGTGTGGGCACGTGGGGACTCACCTCGCCCCCCAACTCCGAATGCCTCGGGGGGCTTTCTGCACAGAGAAGCCAGGCCCGGCTCCATACTGCCCTGTATGGTTCATCTTTGTCTTATGTGGGTGCTTAGTAGGGTGATGGCGAGGGTGCCTCTCCATTCCTAAACTCAAGACAACAGCGCTACCGGAGGTGGGCAGTGGTCTAACTCCCGCGTTCTACATATGGGGAAACTGAGCTCCAAAAGGAACAGGGATTTGCCCAGGGGCTATGGTGAATGCTCCTTGTGTCTCTACCCTCAACTTGCCCAGCACACTTGGAGAGTATTGGCGTCTCGTTCTTCCCTGGGAGCCCGGCGCTGGGGAAAGAAGCCAGAAGGAAAGCAGGGACCAGGACGAGCAGGTATCTCCGGGTCTGTGCTAACCTAACCCTTTCGGCCGGCCGCAATCGCTGTCAACTGTCACCGTCGTTCTCTCCACTCACAGCACATCAAGACAGGATAGGCACTGCCCGCCCCGAGGTCCACCCTGGACCAAGGAGGTGGCTCTCCCTTCCACTCCCAAGTACTAAGCTCTCTTTAGAGATGATCTGTCCCTCTCCTGTCATCCACGAGAGAGATGTTCGCGTGGGGGAGCGGCCCTGCAGGAGGAAGACTCCGGGAAGGAGCTGGGCGTGGGGACCTGCTCCCAAGCAGAGGTCACAGGGCAGCCACACCAGCCGGGTGGCCTGGGCAAAGAGGACGTCGCTCCTTGGCATCTTCCTCTGCGAGGAGGAGGATCAGAAGTGGGTTCCGGGTAGCCGACGCCTCGGCGGTGCGCGACGCTGGGGTCAGGTCCGCCGCAGCGGGGACAGGTGGGCGCGTGCGCGTGGGGCGCGTGCGCGGCGCTCACAGCACCATAGCCGGCAGGTGATGCGCCGCGGCAGCTGCAGCGGCGGCGGCGGCGGCGAGCGCAGGCGCGTGCGCGTGGGGCGCGGGCAGTGCGGGCGAGTGAGCCTGCAGCGCGGCGCTGGGCGGCCGGTGGCGCGCGCTCTTCTGGTGCGCACGCAGGCCGGCCAGCTGCGAGTAGGCGCTCTGGCACACCTGGCACTTGTAGGGGCGCTCGCCCGTGTGTAGACGCACGTGGTTGCGCAGCGTGGACGACTGACTGAAGCGGCGGTTGCAGAAGCGGCACACGAAAGGCTTGTCCAGCGTGTGGATGCGCATGTGCGAGCGCAGGTTGCTGCGCGAGTTGAAGCCACGGTGGCAGATGACGCAGCGCATGCGGCCCGCGGTGCCGGTCGCCGAGTCCGTAGGGTGGAAGTCCTCTGGCCCAGCGGGCAGAACGCGGGACCCACGGCGGCGTGGGCGGGAGGGAAAGAGAGCAATCCGGTTAGCACCCACGCCGGCTGCGCCCGGTCCCCCGTGTACTCACTCCCATATGGTCCCGAGGGCGCCACGGGCCACGACTTTTGTCTAATGGCAGCTAGACTGCAGCAGTACTCAACCTGCGAGGACTAGGCGACAAGGCCCCAGGAAACGTTAGCTTTCTCATCTGAAAATGGGAGGCTGTCCGAGGAGGCAGAGGCAGGCGGATCTCTGAGTTCCAGACTAGCTACGACTACATAGAGAGACCCTGCCTCACAAAGCAAAAGGCAGGACCGCATCGGGTGGGGTGGCAGGAGCCTGGGCTAAGCGCATTCATTTGCGGCAAGCCTGAGGACCCGAACTGGATTTTCCTGGACCCACATGGTAAAGAAGAGAACCGACTCCCATTAGTGTCCTCCACATGCGCGCAGTGGCATGCGTGCCCAGATGCACACAAAATATGTAAAGTAAAAAATAAAATAAAGTTTTTTTAAGGTCTTGTAGAACCACTAGGGGCTGGTGGGATTTTTGCAGGTTCATCAAAAAAACTGGAGTCACTGGAAATTTTTTTTCTATGCTTAGTTCGAATGTGAGAAATGACTAGGTCCTAATAAGCCACAAATAAAGGATAGCAACTATGGCGACCCTCATCTATTCGCTTCACAAATATTCACTGACTTCTCAGTGTACCTGGGAACTACTGTTTGCCTATCTTCTCATCCCAAACAGAGGCAACAGGGACATTCAGGGAAAGCAGGCCTCTGTAAACACTAGGCCACGAACCTTGGGCTGCTCCTTTTTTTTTCCCTCATATTTTGAGACAGGGTTTCCCTGTGTAGCCCTGGCTGTCCTGGAACTAGCTCTGTAGACCAGGCTGGCCTCAAACTCAGATATCTACCTGTCTCTGGCTCCAGAGTGCATGTGTACCACCATGCCCAGTTTCCTTCTCTTATAAACAAACAAACAATAAGTAATAGGGCATAATGATACACTCCTTTAATCCCAACATTGGAGGTGGAGGCAGGAGAGTCAGAAGCTCAAGGTCATCCTTAGCTACACAATGAGTTTGGAGACCAGCCTGGGACACACAGCACACACTCCTTTAAATGAAAAAAATGTCAGGAGAGTTTTTAAGTTCCGGGAAGGTGATGCTCATCAAAGGTTTCGTTCCAAAGTGGAGGGTCCAGGTTCTCAGTACCAAGAAGGACATGGGTGTTGAGCCGGTGGCTTCTACCGTGATAAGCCACATCTCAAGACACACAGGCTCAATCTGCCTACACAAACTGTGTAGCTTCTTGATGCCGGATCCCACTCCAGGACCGGGACAGAGCTAACAGGGGACACAGAGATGCCTTTGCCATTTCTTTACAGATGAGTAAGCTGAGTCACAAAGCCAGTCTCGACACCACACAGCAAGCTGGGGGTCAGTATGTGTTCCTGCTGTCCTGCCCAGCTCTCCAACCACACCCCATCGCCTTTCGGGGGTTTCCCCCATCCAACTTCTGACAACCAATCTGGTCCAGGAAGCAAGCCTGCCTTTCCTGTGCTCAGCCTGTACTGGCTGCTCTGGAGGAAGTGGCCTTATTTTACCAGTTAGGTCCCATGTACAGAATGCTCCTGAAGGTTGGAGCAGGGTCCTCAGAGGCCAGGAGGCCTCCAGTCCCACAGCTTGCCCTCCTTGGATCATTGTCACCATGACCCATGGGGAATACCTACCATGCTTGTTTTTCTTCTGCTCCTCCTCCAGTCCTGGCACGCCAGGGATGCCCAGGAAGGTGTTGTGGGAATTCCCATACCACACCAGCAGCTCCTGGTCCGGAGGGATCATCTGTAAGGAGAGAGGCAGAAGGAGGTCAGGGAGGTGGGCGCTGCCAGCAGGAGGTAGGGGGTCTCTGCACACCCAACCCTGAGAGGCTATCCCACTGAGCTATCCCAGATACACTGTGTAGACACTGAAGGCCCCAGGGCATTGTCCCCTCTGCTCCCCTCTCTTTGCCCAGGTCATCATGTCATTTCTGTCCCACCTTCACCACACAAAGGTATCCAAACCGATACAAAAAAGAACTCAGGAGCTGAGGTAGTAGCTACGTTGCTAGCGTGCTTGCTTAACATACACAAAGGCCTGGGATAGATGGACAGCTCTGCATAAACCAGTCCTGAAAGTCACTGGCATCCCAGCACCGAGGTGGACGCAGGACCATCAGAAGCTCAAGGTCATCCTTGGTCATGTAGACAGTTTGAGACCAATCAGTAACCCATGAGACTCCGTCTCCAAAAGAAGAGGGGAAAGCCTCACAAGCAGAAGTAACATGAAAGCCTAGAACTTTGTTTTTCTTTTTCTTTTTTCTTTTTATCCAGGGGAATTAGAGTCAGCCATCCCTCAGGGTCATAGGGCTAAGCCAGATGTTTCTAAGGAGTGTGGGTTGTGGTGGCCTACGGCTACACCCTGCCTGATAATGTTCTGGAAACAGCTCTTACCCCAAGCCGCACAGGCAGCATGGAGTCACACATGCTACTCTTCCCAGCACAGGGTTCTCTGCAGGACTCCATGCACATGGCAGGTGCTAAAAAAGAAACCTTTGGATTGACAAACACCTACACCTCTGGAAACACCAAGACAGCCTTAAACAAAATGTTTCTCGGTGTCCTAAGCCCATCATCAAGAAACCCAGAGCAGCTGGATGGTGGTGGAGCACACCTTTAGTACCGACACTTTGGAGGCAGAGGCAGGCAGATCTCTTTGAGTTTGAGGCCAGCCTGGTCTACAGAGTGAGCTCCAGGACAGCCAGGGCTACAGAGAGAAACCCTGTCTCGAAAAACAAAACAACTAAAAAGAAAAGAAGAAAGAAAGAAACCCAGAGCTGGATCTCCAGCCAGGCTTGGCTGAGAGAGTGATGATGGCTACTGACCAAGAGAGTGTGTGGTGACCATCCAAGGAGCTGGAAATGCTGCTCTCTGGACCCCAGCAAAGAAGGACAAACAGGACAGACAGCTCATCTCTCTCCTGAGGCCCACCTGGCCTCCCTAACACTAGCCACAACTTTTGGAGGTCACTGTGTGAGGTGCCCAGAGAAACTCAGACAGCACCTAACAACGGCTTTGTCCTTCTGGAGTTCTCTTTCAGCAGAGGCACAGGAGATCACATGGGGACTGGGGGTGGGAGGGATAGTTCAGTGAGGAAATATTTGCCTTGTAAGATCATGAGGTTGAGCGCCAGGCGTACCTGAAAAAGTTAGGCTTGGTGTACACTTGTAATCCCAGTGCTGGGGAGGTAGAGATAGACAGATTCCTGGAGTTCACTGACCAGTCAGTCTAAGCCAGTGAGAGCTCTTGTCTCAAAAAAACAAGTTTTCTGAGCAACAACTCCTGGTTGATGTCTGGTCTCCACACACTCATATTCACATACAACACAAGCATATGCACACATACAACATAAACATACACACAAAAACACAAGCATATACACATACACAACAGAAGCATACATACACATATACAACACAAGCATATACACACATGCACACACAAAGAAATCATGTGGGATTCCACCCATAAGTGTCTGGAGTCACCCCAGAGTAGTGGTCAAGGAGAATCTCTCCCCTTTCACGTGAGCCTGAGAGCCTCAGGTCCATCTTCCTTGGAGAGAGCCCAGAAGACCCCCCAGACCATCCTCTAGTCTCCAAAAGGAGAGAGGATAGAAGGGCAGGAAGCTGCATGTGTCTTGGCTGCTGTTTCCCTACTGAGATTCAGCCTAGTGTCACCATGTCCTGTCACACCAACTCATAGCCACTGTCATCACGACGGCTGAGCGTGCATGTGGTCAGTTCCAGTGGGGAGGTTAAATATGGAAGACAAGGACGATCCCTCCTAAACACTAGCAAGATGACACGGCATCTCAAAGACAGCAGGCAGCTTAGAATCTGGCACTAGTCCTGAAGTCCTTCAGGCTCTCCTTCCTGATCATGGGCAGCATCCAAGAGGCCACAGGGCCAGAGCTGGTGGCCTCTCCATACAGAAGAGAAGAAAGGTCTGTGAAGCTCTCAAAGATGTAGATGATGGAATTCAAGTATTTCAGATATTGATTGAGGGGTACTGGTTTTTTAAGATATAGATTGAGAAAGAGGCTACTGTACAAGACGGATCTCATGACACCAGGTCCCCGTGTGACCTTAGGCAGTCTCTAAGCATGTCCCTTGAAGGCAGCCTCTCGGCCACCTGCACACCTGCACACACCTTGTAAGAGATGGGCTACAGAGGGCCCTGCTGAGCCCTGGAGTCTGGGATGTTGGGACCACTCAGGCTCTGTACCTGCCAAGCAAGTCATCATGTCACTCAGCCTCAGTTCTTCCAATTGTAGAACAGAACAGTCTCTATTTTACCGGCTTCCTGATAGTTGTTGAGAAACAGGACCACAAGCACAAAGCTCTCTCAACCATGAAACTGTGGAATTGCTGCTGACTGTTTTCCTCCCTTGCCAAATCCCTGGAGGAACTGGCAGTGATCTGGGCACCCCGAGTCACTGCAGTAAAGCCCAGGGCTGCTGGCAGGGTGGAGGTCCCCCTCTGCTAAGCACAGGCTCGGGGCTGGGGGCACGCCTCAGAGCCTGGAGTGCTTGTATGGGGTGTGAGAGGCTCTGGGTTTGGACCTCAGCTCCACTCACCACTCACATCTGTAATCCCAGCACTGAGGAGGCAGAGGCAGGAGGACCAGAAGGTCAAGGTCATCTTTACCTAAATAGTGAATGGCCAGTCTTAAAACCAGCATGGGCTACAAGAGATTGTCTGACTCAAAAATAAATAAGTAGGGCTGGAATGGTGACTCAGCAATTAAAAGCACTGGCTGCTCTTCCAGAGGACCTGGGTTCAGATCCCAGCACTTACATGGTAGTGGCACACAACCATTAGTGACTCCAGTTTAGGGAATCTGACAGCCTCTTCTGGCTTCTGAGGACTACAAGCACACACGTGGTACACATACATGCTTGCATGCATAATACGCATATTAACAAAATAAACATTTTAAAATTTAATAAATACTAATATTTTTTATTCAGGTTAAACAAATCAAACTTCATGGGAATAAAGGTCTAGCTGTGCCACAGAGTAAATAATGGAAAATTTCTCTCTCCTGCCTTGATGTCCAGCTGTTCCTATGCTTCTTTGGATGTGTTTCTCCAAAAACAAGTCATTTTGAGCCTTTGGGGAAAAAATGCTGATTTAGGCTTAAAAAGAGCAACATGAAGAGACAGTGTGACTTCTGGTTTTACAAGATCTACTTTTAAAATGAGCATATGGGGGCTGGAGAGATGACTCAGCAATTAAGAGCACTGATTGCTCTTCCAGAGGACTGGGGTTCAATTTCTAGCACCCACATGGCAGCTCATGACTGTCTGTAACTCCGGTTCCAGGAGACCTGGCACCCTCACACAGACATACATTGCAGGCAAAACACCAATGCACATAAAATAAAAATATATAAATAGTTTTTTTTAAAAAGCCCGTATTAGCTGGGCATGGTGACGTGTGCCTTTAATCACAGCACTCCAGAGGCAGAGGCAGGTGAATCTCTGTGAGTTTGAGACCAGCCTGATCTACAGAGCTAGTTCCATAACAGCCAGGGCTATAGAGAGAAACCCTGTCTCAAAAAAAAAATGAGCATGTATCACTTCTAAACATACATAACAGCGACAACAATCGTAAGATTTTTCAGGAAACAAAAGCCTACTAAATAGAATGTACTGGAACTGGTAATAAAACATCCCGACAGCTAGAGGCTACGAGCAGTAGGAGAGACCCTTGTCCTCTTCACAGAGAAACAGGACTGAGAGTTGCTTTGACCTTCATAGCCTGGAATCCCCTTCCTCTGGTCTCCACTTACCAAATACTAAAATGAATTTTATTCACCTTGGAAAGTAAAGCTCGTGGACATAAAATAATAACTGTGCCGTGGGGTAAGTAACGGGGGGGGGGGGGAGGGCTACTCTCTCTCCTGCTCTGGATGTCCAGCTGCGGCTGCTGCCCTCTGGGTGTGTCTGGCATCCAGCAAAAGCCTGCATTGGAGCCCAGGATACCCCAGGACTTGCCTCCTCTTGTCTGAGACCCTGGAAGTACTGTGTAGAGTCCACCCCAGCGCACTGCACAGACACAGTCCCCTGGAGGCCCTTCGCAAGCATTGTTCCTACTGAATTCACCTGGTCCAGGCTGGAAGGACTGGGAGCCAGAATCAGCTGGTCATTCATGTTTCTGGTCTGGGACATGCCACAGAGCAAGCAATCCCCAAAGGGACTGATCCCCATTTCATAAAATCCACTCTGCCAAGCCCAGGGAAGCAGCATTACCTGGTTCCCGCCGCCAAGCCTCGTGACCTCTCTCGTCTAGTGCTTAATGTTCGTTCTTCGCTCGTTCCTTAACTCTAGTCCTGCCCCATTTCAGTGACAGGAGGGCAATGACAGGCTTTCAGGTTTGCTTTCCTAATACAAATTCATGACACCCCATTGAACACGCTCCTGGGAGGCTCTGACACCTGCCCTTTCCCGGAGTGACACAGAAGCATCTCTGTGTCATCTGGATGATCATCAGTTTCCATTGTGCACAGATGTCCTGACACACCAATTAATAGAGTCCCAACAAGAAGATGCTGGCCGGGGAGGCCACACAGCACAGCCATCCATACTCTGGCTCTGCAGCAGATGGGGCTGGGGTCCAAGTCACAGCTCCAGAGTCTCCCCAAGCTTGGACCTTCATTTCTTCATCATTAAAATGGGGACAGGGGCTATGATGAGGTCAAGCAATAGAGGACCTACTCAGTGTGTATAAGGCCCTGGGGAACCGTGGGGAAAAAGTAAGTAAGCCGTGGGTTGAGTCCCCACTACAAAAGCAAAACAGTTGCAAAGGCCCTTTGAAAACATTGTCAATATAGTGTCGGCACATGAGACATGCTCTGGGTAGCATTAATGTCGATGATCACTAATGACGGTAATCCTCAGAGCCGCTACGGAGCAAGGTCAAAAGGAAAATTGCGCTTATCCTCCAAGTTGAGGAAAGAGATGAGGATCTAGGAAAAGTAGAAGGCTCAGCTGCCCCGAGACAAGAAGAAACAAGAAAGCCCACATTTCAGGGCAACTATTTGCCAATACAATACAATGAAGCAGAAACAGGACTGACTGGAGATTTTCTTCCCATTGTAAAACACCCAGAGAGTAATGTTTAGTTAGTGTGATAACAGATTCCTCAAGCCTTCACTTGTGATGGTCTCTTGAGCAAATCTCTTGATTCCTCGGTGAGCTAGTTTTGCTTTCCTGGAAGAGGTGGGCCCCTGTGGATATCCCATCACCCAGAGAAAGATTTATTTGTTTAATATTTAGTATATCCTTGCTTTCTGCTGGGTAGCTTTTAGAAATGCCGTTTGAAGCACCTAAGGCAGGACTGAGTAACTGTCCAGGCAGAAGCAAAGCCAGAATACTGCAAGTCCCCAGCCCCCATCACCCCAACCTGGAATGCAGAATTTGGGGCAGTACTCTAGTGCTGGCCTGAGTTCCCAAACCCAGTGATCTCTGTCTCCACTTAGTGACCCGTGACTTTGTATTTGTGGAATGGTCTAGAGCAGCAATAGTGTATTCTTCCTACTGAAGAGAGGCATTGCCCCTTGCGTTTTGGCGAGTAATGGGTTACTGTCATGAGCTATAAATAGTGCTTGTGAGTGGCAGGAAGAGCAAGTGAACAGATCGTGGCAAAGGTCCCTCTCTTTGGCTAACAGCTCCTTCTGCACACAGAACAAACAGCTGATGATTCAAGACTACCCAGGAGCCGCCTGGGTGAGCAGAAATATGTCTGGTCACACCCAGATACTCAAGTGGAATTCTGACACTGTTATAAAATGATTTGAGAGAATTGCTGCTATGAAAAAACGTGTCCAACTTTACTTATGAAAAGTAATTTGGGGCTAGGTATAGTGGCGAATGAATGTCTTTGATCCTAGCACTCGGGAGGCCGAGTCAGGTGGATCTCTGTGAATCTGAGACCAGCCTGGTCTACAAAGTGAATTCCAGAACAGCTTGGGCTACATAGTGAGACCCTATCTTAAATTTTAAAAAACAAAATTTTTGGTTTTGTTTTTTGTTTTTTTCAAGACAGGGTTTCTCTGTGTAGCCCTGGCTGTCTTGGAACTTGCTCTGTAAAGCACACTGGCCTCAAACTCAGAACTGCCTGCCTCTGCCTCCCAAGTGCTGGGATTAAAGACATGTTCCCCTAGCACACTGCAAAATATCAAAAAAATTAAACAAAAGAAAGACAAGTAATTTGGAAATGTTTTGTATTACCTTGTGCCTCACGTAAAGAGCCCCTTCTTAGCAGGATGGTTCACGCTAAACACTATGATACCATGTGAGAAGCACATGTATGATAGATTCATCATATGTGTGATAATGTGTGTGCTATATAGATGTGTGTGTATAGCCCATTCTTTCATGAACTTAAATTTCTGGAAACATAAATGAACTTTTTCTCCTAATCATACAAATTCCAATCCCTCCCTAGAAATTTCCTTACCCTCTTTGTCCCCTGAATTCATACTTCTGGATAAATGTCATTCACATGTCCTGATCTGACTTCAACAGTCTGATCTGATGTGTCTAGTATGATGGGACTCAGGCCACCTGTCTGCCCCAGCCGGTAGCCTTAGTATCAACATGACATAGGCATTCTTGGCCAGTCTCCTGTGTCTGTGTCCATGTGTGTGTCTGTGTGAATCTGTGTATGTATGAGCGTGTGTGTGTGTGTGTGTGTGTGTGTGTGTGTGTACAGGTATGTGTGTGTGCATGTGTGTTTGTGTATATATGTCTGTGCATGTGTGTCTCTGGGAGTGTGCACGTAATATGTGTGTGTATGTGGGTGTGGAGGTGTGTATCTGTGTGTGTGTAAGAAAGACAGAGGGGTGAGAACTCATGGGGATGTACTTAACTATGGGAGCATTCAGCTGCTACAAAAACCAGTTCCAGGAGTGGGCAATCCAGTTGAATGGTCACAGGAGTCATGCTGGTCCTGCCTGAGCTACCTCTGTTACTACACTGACACTCCTCAGCCCTGCTAGCATGTCTGAACGCCAGTGGCAGAGCTGCCTGGCTTTCCTTACTCTCTACTCCCTGGTCTTCCCTGAGCTAACATTCTGCTGTGACCCAGGCCCTGGCCATGCAAGGCCTAGGCAAAGGCTATTCTGTCACCACCCCTGTCAAACTCCCAAGGGTCTGGTCATTCTGGAACAAGTCCAAGACTCAAGTCCAAGAACCTAGCAGGCCTGAGCATGCAGAAGAGTCTTGAGTTCAGGCTCAGAGTCTTTGCCAGTAAATGGAGTGTGGCTAGAAAGGAAGTTGTTCCCTAACCAAGCCCCTGACTCTTGCCCCACCAAAGGACTTTGAAAGCAAGTTAGCAAAAGTTCAAGATGTAGAAAAATGTGGTGGGACAGCTCTGCCCCCCCCCGCAACTTCCCACACCCAGGGCAAAAAGACACAAGGAAGCTGCACGCCAAGAGACCCTGTTCAAAGAACCCTGCTGATGTGCACGGCCTCGGCGGCTGCTGCTCCCTCCCTCATCACCTTCCCTGGTGCCTTCAGCTTTTCTGTTTCTGCCAGGTGTCTTCTACCTTCAGGAGTGTCCCCTTCCTCTTCCCAGAACCTGGTCCACTTTAGAAGACTCCCACACATCATACCCCCCCCCCCGCAGGCTTTCCTCAGTAACACGTGTGTGTGTGTGTGTGTGTGTGTGTGTGTGTGTGTGGTTTCAAAACTCTAGGCCACCAAGCAATGACAAGGTTTCCGTGTCCATAAACTGTGGATAAACGCAAGATCCTCTTGTGTGTGGTTCAGCATGTGAACTATTGCTGAGACAAAGCCCAGAGCCATCCACAACTACATACACCCCATGTATTATGTAGAATGTAAAATGTAGAATGAGGGATGACACACAGTTAACCCTCCACGGACATACAGCCTTTATCATCGAACCTAAGCACCAGCCTGCTTCTACTTGGTGTCTTGCTTTCTGCACTATTGTACCTTTTGAACCTCTGCACACGCTCCTCTATGTTCGATTTATTCACCACGTCATCCAGTTGCAAGCTCCATCTTCTCCTGGCTATATCAGCAAGCTTTCCATGCAGGACATATTCCTGTCAATCACGGCACATAAGCCTCAGCCCTACACCCAGGCAGAGCCAGCTGGGCCAGCACCAATGTCCTTCTGTCTTCCTTGGTCACAGAACACAGCTGCTTTTGCACAATCCTCACCATGACATGTCTCCATCTGTCCCTACGTAACAGTATATGTGCATACCTCTATAGCCTTGTAGAAGATGCTGGTGCCAATCTGTACCACTTCCAGGTTCTGCTCCTGCTCATTCCGGGCACACTTGATATAGGTCATCCAGCTTCGGTGGTCTTCCTGGCTGGCATCGATGAAGTAGCGTACCGTGCCATCCTCATTGAATACCTAGGCACAAGTGGAGCAGTGATGGGTTGAGGCAGGGCTGTGCTCATCCGTAGACATTCTCTTTTCTCCCAACAGCTCCAGGAAGTGACTAAAGCTATTGTCAGCTATGCCTTCCAATCCAAGGAAGGTTAGGGAGCACTGTGACTTATCTGAGGCAAGGGGCAAAGGAATCAGTTTTCAGGGCTCTATGCGCTTACTATTACCAGGCTCTTCCGCCCCCAGAAGAAAAATGTCTCCAAGAAATCACTAAGCACGTAGCATGCTCTTCCTGCTGCCTGACCTTGGGATGCAGAGGTTTGCTGCAGAATCTCAGAAAGGGGCACAAGAGTCTGGGGTGCAAATCTAGCTCACTGGGGTCTCTTGGTCTGGCCTAAGCCCGTATGTGAGGCTAGCTGCTAATGGTCCTCAGAGCTCAAACCACACCCTAACTTCCTGACTGGGAAGCAGCTGGAAGACACACACCAGGCCCAGGTGTCCAGGGTGGAGAGAGAGCAAGATCTGGGTTCATCTCTCTGTCCCTCCAGTTCCTCGGAACAGCTGTACAGTGTCACACTGAGCTTCTGCCAGGTGGGGCTGCTAGGATGGCAGCAGGGGACACAATGAGGTTGAGAAGTAGGTGTACCATCTGGCTTCTGGGGGTGTGCAGGTCTGTGGGGGAAGAGTGCTGGAGGAGGACTACTGCTGGGCCGGCTTTGTCCTAGGGGGACCCTCCCTGGCGGCTGACATTGTTGGAGGTGGGTAGAGTCCTAAGGCCAGAGATGGAAGTCTTTCAGACACTCATTTCCCTCTGCAAAAAGAGTAGAATGGCCCGCAGGGCTGAGGAGATGAGCTCACAGTTTGCAGGCTGGGGAATGTGACTGCTGACTCAACACCCAGTCAGTCATGGTTATTTTGGATGCCAACAGGCCTGGAACTCGGAAAGCTGTTCTCAAGAAACACCCACTTTCCACTATCCTCCATTCCAGCCTCCCTTCACCATAGGCCAGCCCCAGAGACCCCACCCTTGCTGCCTCTAAGGCCAGGGAAGGAATGTGGGTAGCTTGGAGAAGTCCAGGCTCTGCACCAGACCCCCCTGGATCTCAGCACTGCCTGCACAGGTGAAGGATGGCTTTGCCTGGGAAGCCTGGAATCAAGAAGGGTTAGATTTTCCCCCAAGGCAATCAGAAAGAACCACGGCAGAGAAAGCTGCAAGACAGGAGCATGGTGCCCCGGAGAGTGTTCAAAGGGACAGCGTTCATCGCTCAAAGCTGGAGCTCTGGCACCAGTGGATACAAGCCCTAGGGAGCCAGCCCATCTGTCCACCCGAATCCTTCTCCAAGGCTCGAGCCTACCTCCCACATCAGGTTGTTGTTCTTGCAGATATCCACGTGCTCTGGGGCGATGACACGGCCAGTGAAGGGACCCATCTCCGTGCCTGCCTTGATCCACGTCTTGGAGAAGATGCCAAGGCCCTCGCCCGGGATTGAACTCTGAGCGATGATCACTTCCACCGGCAGCACCAGGCTGGACAGCTTCTGCACCTCTGTGCGGGGGTGGGGGTGATGGGGGTGGTTAGAAGAACCCGGTCATGTATGCACAGAGAAGGCCCTACCCTTCTCATCCAGGACGCACTCTCCTTGCTCAGCCCACAAGCTGAGCCCATCACGGTGAAACTCTCCAGTGGTGCGCTAAGGGCGGGTGAGCAGAGGTTCAACCTTATTTTGCAACCCAAGACCTTCTGTGCCTTTTAAAAGCAAGCGGTGCATCGTGGTTCATTTGTTTTTCTTTGGGGCGGAGAGTTTCTAGAGAGGATCGAACCCAAAGCTTTGCGCTTGAAGCGCTCTGCCCCGAGCTGTATCATCAGCCCTTGGGGCTTTCTACAATTCTCCAAACATCCACAAACCTTCACCGCCTTCCATCGCGGAAAAGCTTAAGAACAAGTGAAACCGCGTTGTGTTTACAGACAGGGAAACTGAGGCCGGGCGAAGAGGTAACGTCCAACCCGGGTCTCTTCAGCCAGCCTTGTTCCTGGCTCTTGAGCTGGTGACTCTGGGCTCACTGCGTGTCTCCGGTACGCGGTCAGCACTGGGGACAGATCCCCAGCTTGGAAGGTAGCACCCGCGCAAAAGAAACACTTGCTTCTGCAAACTGAGTTCTCCCCTGGCAAGCCAGTGTCTCTCTCTCTCTGCTTCCAGGCTCTAGAGTGCCAGGGAAGGCGGCACCAAGATCAGGCGAGCTCTGAAATCACCTTAATGGACGAGGAAGAGCCAGTGGTCCCTAGTCCCCAGAGGATCCCCGGTGGGGCCTCTGCGGCAGGGGTGGGAGCGGCGAGGCGCACAGGGGCGGCCTCCATGTCTTACAAGGTTCCCCTCTAAGCTACCTGGGAAAATACCCAGCGAGCCGGCCAGCTGAAAGGGGGGGTTAAACGGTGTCCATTGCGGAGCGGCCGGCAATTTGTCACGCTGTTAAAGTGATCGCATTCATTCGGCTCCATTCGAAAGAAATTGCTAATTCTAAATTCATTAGCCCTGGAAGAAAGCTGTAGCAGTAAATTGTATCTCAATGCGGAGGGGACTTGTTTAAAAGGGGCCGAGGAATTCTCCTTACAAAAAGGGAGGATTAGATGGTTGACATAGCGTGAATGGAAGTGGAATTAGTCTTCACGGTAAATTAAGAGAGGAACAGCAACCTTAAAGGGGAAGAGAGGGCGACGCTCAGAGACGCCAGCGCTGGGGAAAGATATTGTTTGCGGGGTGACGAATGAGGAATAAGAACTTGAGACATCTTAAAGAAAAGGAACTTTCCTCGCTCTCTTTCTCTCCCTCGCTCTCTCCGGCTTTTTCTCTCCGGCCTCCCCGCCCTCCGCCCCTTCCCTGGCCCCGGCTGTCTTTTAAAGTTTTTGGTTTAAGTGGGAACTTTCGCGGGTCAAGCCCAAGTTAACCAAATGAATTTAAAACCCGTTCTTTTTGAGTCAACTGCTATTACACGCCCAGTAAGGCTTTCAATGCCAGGAAACCTCGAGCTCCTGGCTGGAGGGTGGGGTGGGGAGAGAAGACACAGAGGAGCCTGGCTGTAGGTCGTCTGGGTCGCTGGGATTTGGTTCTAGGGCGCCCTGCGTTCCTAGCTGCCTCCGCTCTGCTTCGGTGTGGCTGTTGCAGGCCGGATTTGACTCAGAAAAACTGAGGTGCGCAGTTGGGGGAGCGGGGGCATCCAGGTTGAGGGCTGAAGCCCCAGGCCCAGTGTTCCCTGTCTGGTCACCGCGCCGCTGCTAGCCTGGGAATGAGGGGTAGTCAGGAAGAGCGAAGGAGAACAGCCCCGACGGCGCTGCGCGACTCACCTCCGGAGAAGGACTGCGCCAGGACTTCGGCGGTGAAGGCGGTCTTTGGGCTGGCGTGGTGGCTCTTGTCCTCCAGCAGCTGTTCGCCTAACACATTGCGCCATCGGCCGTACAAGAAACTGTGCAGAATGTCGGAGGTGATGACCTCCGCCAGCGCCAGCCCTGGAGCCTTCAGCCCTGTTTTGAGCACCAGGGCCTCAGCTGGGAGCACGGAGCCCATCATGGGCGGCCAGGGGCTCGCCGGCGCTGCAGAAGGACGGCTGGGTAGACTTCGGAGAGGTGGGCAGTGAAGAGGGAGAACAGGAGAGAGACGACAGGAGTGCGACACAACACGAGGGAGGGGAAGGAAGAGAAGGATGAACTGGGGAGTGAGTGGCAAGGGGGCGGCGGGGAGGAAAGCGGGAGACACACGAAACCTGCGGAGATGTTAGAGGTGGCACAGAGGGCTGGAAATCGCGGGTGGAGACAGGGGCGGGTACCAGGAGGGGTGCGGGATGGGTAGGAGGCAGGTGGCTGCAGAAAAACACCGACCCAGGGCTCTCGATTGCCCACTCGCCTCCTGTACATCCAGCCAGTACCGTCCTCCCCTTGGCAAAATCTCAGCTCCTTTATAGGAGCCGCAGTGACCCTCCTAATTGGTTATTAATGACCCCCTGACGTCGAAGGACAGACTTCCACCCGGCCAGGCTCCAAGGAGCCTTCACCGACAGCGCGAGGGGCGGGGGCAGCGCGGACCGCTCAGAATAGTCCCCCTCTGCTCCTCCCTCCCCTCCGATCCTTCCTCCTCCCCCTCCTCCTCTCCCCGTGGGAAGCTCCAGGCAGGGAGGGAGTCTCAGCCCGCGGCCGGGAGAGGAGGGGTTGGAGTAGGGGCTGCGAGGCTCGCCCATACTCTAGGGGCTAGACTGAGCAAGAGGGGACACATGACTGCGAGCCCCGAGTGCCCCCGCGCCCACCTGTCCCAGGCAAGATCCGCGGTCACTACGGGTCCCGGCTAGGGCTTCACCTTCCTAGCACTGAACTGCAGGCAGTGTGCTGCTCCCTTGACCAAGCCCAGTACTGCCGGGTTCCCATCTCCCCCCTCGCCCCCACCTCCGGACCCTGCTCTCTTAGAGGCTTCACGCCCTAAACTGCCACAGCAACCAGGAGCCGGTGACTCCTGCTCGAGTGATGCAGATCTCATACGCCGGCAGAGCTATCCCCATGCCGGGCCGGTTTCGATTCATTCGATTCAAACGGGGTTCCCCAACTGCTCTGCGAGCAGAGGAGCAGAGCGCAGCCAGCACGGAGGGCTGCTGAGGCAGAACCACCGGCTTCGACGTCGGGGCTGGAGCCCACACAGGAAGGCTCCCAGCCTTAGGAGAACTAAGTTGGGGTGGGGATAGTGAAGGGCTGACCCGCTTCCACGATTGCCCTCAGATACTCGTATCTGTGAGATACCCTGGACCAGTGTAAGATGGGAATTGCAGGGACCCAAACCCAATGCAGGCAGCCTGGGCGAAAACCCATCTGCTGGACTTTCGAATTGCTCCGGGATCTGCATCCTAGGAAATCGTCAGGCATTCCTCTTTCCCTAATGGGAAAATTCGTCTCCTAATGATCATTCTTTCTTTCCTGGCTCCTTTCTCTTCCCCCTCCTTCCCTCTACCCTCGCCTCAAAAGTATATTCTGTATGGTCTTTCCAAGGCACCTGGGAGCCATCTCCACACCTCTTGCTAAGTCGGGAAGACGACGGCTTCCTGCGTGCATTGAAGCCTCCTGGATAGCCTCAAGATTTCCTCCTCCAGCTCCAGAAAACACCACATTGGGACATCCTCCCCCCCCCCCGACCCCGTGCCGCTGCAATTTCAGATGGCGCTATGGAAAGTTCCGCAGCCTTCAGGCTAGTGTGAGTTCATGTATTAAGTCTCCACTGGATAGCGAAGACTCTTCAGGCCTTTGAAGCCCTGGGACTTGGGCGTGGGTAGTGCTGCAAGCGCAGGACTGGGATTTGAACCTCGGGCGGGATCCTAGTGGCCCCCTTTCCACCCGCAGCTCGCCAGCCCTAAACCTGCCTCGCTCCTGGCAACCGGGGGATCTCAGATCTCTATAACCCCTAGTTGGAGTCAGTGGTCTCTGGCATCCTCAGCCTGGCAGTCGGGAGACTAGAGCACCAAAGCGGCAGCGATAGAATGTCTTCCGACGCAGAACCCCTGGAGCCCAGAGGAAAGTGGGTGAACCGGGCAGGGAGAGGACCAGCGGGCAGGGCGCCAGCAGAGGGCAGCGCTGCAGAGGAGCAAGTGCTGCCGGTGGGCTGGGGTTTCTTACAGATGCCACCGGTGAGTTAAATCGGCTCATGGAGGGTTCCAGTCAGACGGGAGGATGGAATCCAATGTCTCGGTGGCAAGGGAACCTGACCGGCGCCTGGATCTTGGTTTCTATGAAGCCTACGTGGAGAGGAGACTGAGTTGGACAGAAAAAAATCTCCGGACTGG